GAACTAGCTTGTTCAGTCTCTTCCTGTGTTGGCCAGAGCTTCCTGCACCCCAACAGACCATCAGAGTGCATAACAGAGCCAACCACAGAGTGATAGGAGTTTAGCAGCTGAATTAACTCTGAAGGACCTCAGCCTCCTCAGGAGGTGGAGGCGGCCTTGGTCCTTCTTATACAGAACACCTGTGTTATTGGACCAGTTCAGTTTGCTGTTGAGGTGAACACCCAGGTACTTAAAGGTATCCACTACCTTAATGTCTGCTCCCTGGATTTGGTTTCTCCATCTTAACAGCTCCAAACTGGAGGCTATTCTCCTTGCCCCCTGCTCCCCCTCTGCTGTGAAGCCATCTCTGTCCCCGTCATTGTAAGTTTTTGTGAAGCCAACAATTACAAACTTGGGGGTCACTCTGGACACTTTTTTAAAATGGATGCTCTGATGAATCAGGTAGTCACGTCGTGTTTCTTTCATCTTCGCCGGCTCGCCAAACTAAAATCTGTCCTGAACAAAAACGATCTTCAGTCGTTGTTCATGCTTTTGTAACGTCACGTCTGGACTATGCCAACTCTCTCTCTTATATGGTATTCCCTCCTCTTCAGTGGTATGAATCCAACTGGTTCAGAATGCTGCCGCAAGGTTTCTTACAGGCATAGACCGACGGCAGCATATCACCCCTGTTTTGGCAAATTTACACTGGCTTCCAGTTCGGTTTCGTATTAAGTTCAAAATTCTCCTGTTGGTTTACAAATCTATTCATGAAATGGCCCCCTCTTACTTGGCTCATCTTTTGAGTCCCTCTGTTCCGGCGCGAACCCTGTGGTCCTCTGACAGCACCTTCTGCTTGTCCCTCCTGCCCGCTACATGACCCGTGGTGAACGGGCTTTTTCAGTTTGTGCGCCTAAACTTTGGAACCAGCTCCCCCTGTTGGCCCTACTTGCCCCCTCCCTTCCCACTTTTAAAGTATGTTTGAAGACTTATTTTTATTCCCTGGCCTTCCCGGCTGAGACTGTTTAACCCTTGTGCTTTCCTGTTTGTTATTATAGTTTTTATTTGTTTTTTCTGTTTTCTGTTGCTGTATCTAGTTTGGTGACGTATCGTCGTGTGCAGCACTTGGTTGGCATTGTCGCTATTTAAATGTGCTTTATAAATAAAGGTTGATGATGATGATGATGGATGTTTATTGGATATTGATGGTGTTTTGCACTGGAAGTCAGTCACCATTTCCTTTGTCTTACTGGTGTTCAAGTGAAGTTGGTTACACTCACACCAGTCCACAAAGTCCAGGATGACTGACCTGTACTCCTGGTCATTCCCCTCAGACACACAGCTGACAGTGGCTGAGTCGTCAGAGAACTTCTGGAGGTGACAGCTGCTGGTGCTGTAGGTGAAGTCCGAGGTGTAGAAGGTGAAAAGAAAGGGTGAGAGCACCGTACCCTGTGGAGCTCCATTACTGCACACAACCACCTCAGACGTACAGTTGAGCAGCGTCACGTACTGTGGCCTGTTGGTGAGGTAGATGACAGTCCATGCAGTCAGATGTTCGTCCCTCTTCTTCTGCTGCAGTAGACACGGCTGGATGGTGTTGAAGACACTTGAAAAGTGGAAGAACATGATTCTCACAGTGCTCTTTTGCATGACGAGGTGAGTCAGAGCCCGGTGCTGCAGGTAGATGAGTGTGTCCTTCACACCCATGTTTGGTTTATATACAAATTGCAAGTTGCAAGTTTGAGCCCCGCTCGGTCTGTCGCTGTCATTGTGTCCTTGAGCAAGACACTTAACCCCCCTTGCCTGCTGATGATGGTGGGTTATAAATGGTCGGTGTGCCCCAGGGCAACTGTGGCTTCATGATAGCTCATCACCATCAGCGTGTGAATGGGTGAATGACTGATTGTGTTTTAAAGCGCCTTGGATTAGGGTTACCCTAACCCAAGGCGCTTTAGGGTTAGGGTTAACCCTAACCCTAAAGCGCCTTGGGGGGTTTCAGGACTCTAGAAGGCGCTGTATCAAATACAGGCCATTTACCATTTAATCTAAACAACTGAACTGTGCTGCCCGCTCCCTCCTCACTGATGAACCAGCCCCATGCATGATCCAACGAGTAGACCCCATCGTCCCTGTTCATGGTCCCACATCCATGTCTCCTTATGTCGATAGCTTCTTTTATCCATCTTTTGTGTTTCTGTTGTTCGGTGGTTATGATCCGTGTGTTGTCCCAGTCCATTACATGGTTTTCTCTTGTGCAGTGATCTGTTACGGCTGACTTCTTTATTGTGCTTTCTGCTTCTTCTTTTGCTGCTCTTGTGTGTCTTTGACTTGTTTCTTTCTCACACTCCTTTCTATGTTCTATTGTTCGTGTGTTGAGTTGGCGTCCGGTTTCTCCTACGTATGTTTTATTGCAGAGTTTGTATGGGATTTCATAAACGACTCCACATTTAAGTCCAGCTGGTATCTTGTCTTTTGGGTGTACTAGTCTGTTTCTAACTGTTGTGTATGGTAGGGCTGGGGGTAAACGATTATTTTTAAAACGATTATTCTGACGATTATTTTATCGAATAGTCGACTATTCTAATGACTATTTAGAAAATTAATCTAATGATTATTTTTCTATTGCACAATTAACAAAAACCAGAAAATCTCAAATAAATTCCTCAAAAAAATTGATAAATTGTTACTGTAAGAGAATAAACACTACAGGCCTTCCATTTTGTATAACACTACTTTTATTGTGTTGGTTGGTTATGTTCTGATGACATGTAGAACTTGGGAGTGCAGGCTGCTGCCTGAGAGGTGGTAGAAGATGGAGTGTCTCCATGCTGCTTTGTTTTGGTCACTTATGTGCGTGAGGCGAGTGGTCTTACGGGTTAAACCAAACTCAGGTGATATTTTACACTAAACCGAAAACCCACAACACTCTAAATGTAATAAAAGGGAGATCTGCACCACAAAAAAGATGAACTCTAAACCAAAACGTAACAGCTTATCCCAACGCAAGAAGCTGTTAGCGAAGATGCTAACAGTAGCTTTACCAACGTTAAGTTCAAGTTACCAAGTTTAAATAAACCAAAAACACCCGGCAGCAAACAGACCAGCACGGAGGAGAGACTGCTACCACCAAAACAGCTCTCCTCATGTCTGAAAGAAGCTCCTTAATGAAGGGAGAAACGCTCCCGGTGATTTTCTACATCTGCGATAGACACGGAGCAGCGCATCTGACCCCGGAAGTTGTTGCCCGTTGCCGGGAGACGAAGGGGCAAAACAGGAAAATAATCTAGTAGTGGACGGACATTGTTCCGGGTCTTCGGTATTTGGCGGAGATGTTAGTGAAGGCGGAGAAGAGGGCGAACTAGAGGAAAAACAGGCAGATTCCTCCTCTATTTACAAACTCCTGGGGATGCAACAAGTGGGCGCGGTGCGTCGACTTCCGGATCTGACGTCGACAAATTTTTAGAATCGAGCCGTCGACTTCGTCGAGGCTTCGCTACAGCCCTAGTGTATGGTTTTGTTGGTGTGTTTATGTTGTGTTTTTTCATTGCTGCTCTTATTTTTTCTGTTATGCCTCTGATGTATGGTAGGGTTATCACTGGTTCTGGTTCTTGTCTTTCTGGGTTTCTGGTTTTGTTGTTCTTTTCTTTCTGTTGTTATTGTTTGTGTTGACAAACAACCACGAACAGAGACGATGGGATCTACACACTGGATCACACATAGGACTGTGTCACTGGTGAGAAGAGTGCGGGCAGCAGAGGCTAGCGTCTAGCTCTGAAGAAGTTGTGGTAGTGTTTGAAATGTCAGCATAAACGAGGAAAACTTTCCTGTAATAAAAAAGAACGGAGTAAAGCAGTTAGGTTTTAGTTGGTAATGGTGAGTTGCTGAACTGGTCATTTGTCCAGTAATCAGGTGTGTCGGAGTAGGTAAAACAACTAAAACCTGCTGGATAGCGGCCCTGGAGGGCCAGGATTGCTCACCGCTGATATCTCTATAGGGACCACAGAGGAGCCTAACTTTGGTTTAAATGATTTAATCAGGGTCTTAAATCTTTCACTGCTTGTGATGTTTTTGTGGAGTAGAAACAAATCTGAGGGGATTTATTCTTTTAAACAAAACACCAGAAACAGTTTCTAGATTATTATTGGGCAATGGGACATTGAGGAGATTGGGGGAGGAGGTGTTGGGTCCTCATGAGGCTCAACATGTAACAGCCCATGTCTGTCACCTGGTGCCTATCGGCTTTGGTTGAACTTGTTAAATTATTTATATGTGTGAAATACAGTTTGGAGGTTATTGTCTTTGTTTTTGTTGCTGATTTCTGTGACCTAAGAGAAAGGCCGCATCACGTTGAGGATTGTTTTATTGATCGTTTTGTCTGCCTGACTTCTATAAGAGGTGAGTTAGGAGACACGCCCCGCCCCCGAGAGTGGTACTCCCTCACCTGTCTGCAGCTGTGCAGGACGCTGGAAGCAGGAGCTGCCAAGCGGTGTTATGGACTAAGGATTATCGCACCAACGACTAGGGAGAGTCTAGCGGACCTATGTGACTTCTCTGATGTGCTGGAGGAGTAAGCTGGGAGCGTGTGTTCTGGTGAACCGCCGAAGCAGCGGCCTGTCGGGTCCTCAGCGGTACCGTGAGTAAACAGCTGATGGACGCAGCGGTTGCTGCAGCTGCTGTATACTGAACCTACAACGATAATCCTAGTTCTTGTTTTTGCCGAGTGTATTATGGACGTACATTTTTCTGTTGGAACTCATCAGAACGTGACTCTCGGACCTTTCCATGAATTATTATATATGTTGTTGCAACAGATCTGATTTAATACAGCCCCGCTTTTGCCTTATGCTTATGTGATTATTTGGGTTTGTTTGTTTCAGTCCAGGTTAGGGTTTACATCCTTTGTGTTGTGAAGTGAGTGTGTGTTACAAGGGAAAGTTGTTAATAATTGTATTTATATGTCAGGAGAGAGACCTGGCTGGCACCCCGATTAAATCCCTTAGTTACCCCCGCTTCCATCACAAACACTTTCAGCTTTTGACTAATGAAGGTCTCCAGGATCAGCCAAACATGTTTTCTGGAAGCCTGTCCATAACACCGAGGAGGAAAATGGCCACATGTTTGTGTTTAGTTTGGACAGATGCTGAGAGAGGGTGTGTGTGTGTGTGTGTGTGTGTGTGTGTGTGTGAAACAGAGCTTAGACAGGAGATGGATAACTTTAGGCCTGATCCAATTCTAATCTGATTTCAAAGTTGAAACTGAGTCCCTGCTGTTTGAACTTTGCTTCTCTAGATGATTTTGTGAAGTGGTCTAAATGTAAAATGTCATTCTGTTTCCTTTTTTCAGAACCAGGCCTTGTGTAAAGGACTGAACGAGCTCCAGAATGGTCAGGTGGGTTCTGGTTCATGTCTCTCATCTTTATGTGTAAGGTCAAAGACAAACAAACATAAGAACAACAACTGCTGAGAAGAAGAAACAATGTTTTATATAGCACCTCGCATCAGCCGATGCCTGGTTCACCTCCTACCTCTCTGGCTGTGCACAATTTGTTCAACTGAAGTCATAAATCCAATCTCTTTCCTGTTTCTGCTGGTGTGCCCCAGGGCTCTGTCCTGGGGCCCCTTCTTTTCATCGTTTACCTTGTCCCACTGTGTCACATTTTCTGGAAACACAATTTCATTGTTATGCAGATGACACCCAGCACTACCTCTCATCTAAACCCTCAACTTCACTCCCACCTTCCTCCCTTTACCTTCTGTCTCCAAGAAATCGTTTCTTGGTTCATTTTCCACTTCCTCAGACTGAACAGTTCTAGAACTGAAGTCCTCCTGGTAGGCACTCATATTCTCTCTAAATCTAACAGTTTCCCCATTTCTATTGATAACTCAGCAGTTACCCCCACCCTCATGCTAAGAGTCTGGGTGTCATTCTCGACAGCACACTTGCTTTTCAATCTCACATCAACAATATTACCCGATCAGCTTATTTTCACTTGCGTAACATCTCCCGTCTCCGTCCATCACTTACTCCCTACACCACCGCCATCCTTGTCCACAGCCTCGTCACATCCAGGATTGATTATTGCAACTCCCTCTTTGGTCTCCCCAGCAAATCCCTCCATAAACTGTAGCTTCTCCAAAATGCTGCAGCACGTGTCATCACTAGGACTCCATCTCATCACATCACCCCCATCCTGCAACAACTTCACTGGCTGCCCATTAAACAAGGAATCAGTTTCAAATTTCTGCATAACCTGGCTCCATCCTACATTTCTGATCTCATTCACATCACCACTCCGGTCCGTGCTCTTTGTTCCTCTTCTGCTCTCCCCCCCCCCCGCTCGCCTTGTCACCATGGGGAGTAGAGCATTCAGCCGCTCTGCTCCCCACCTCTGGAATCAAAAACATTCCTCTTCAAACAAGCTAGTTTTAACTACATTGTTTAAAATTTTAGCATGTTTTTACATATTTCTGTATTGTGTTTCTTGTTTTATTTATTTATTTTTCACCATCGTTGTAAAGTGTCCTTGGGTGTCATGAAAGAAAGGGAGTGGTCACCAACACTAGGTTTGTGTTTCTTGTGGTATTGTTAAAACTCTACCTAAGGAAGAATTTGTGTGGCCTTGATCATTTTACACACATTCGACCAACAATCAAGGACTGGGGGGTTGGCTTACGGATTGACAGTTGTCAGCCCCAAAGCAATAACACCCCCTAGGTGTTGGAAGGTATGAATCCTTTAGTCTAGGTATTTGTGGAGATTTTTCTTCTTTTCTTTATGATTTATTTATAGTTTTTCAAATAAATAAATAAAATGAAGTAAAAAAACAGACAGTCTAAATTGTGTGTATATATATATATATACACACGTGCATACATACATACGTACGTGTGTGTGTGTGTGTGTGTGCGTGTGAGCATCTGTGTGTGTGTGTATGTGTGTGTGTGTGTGTGTGTGTGTGTGTGTGTGTGTGTGTGTGTGTGTGTGTGTGTGTGTGTGTGTGTGTGTGTGTGTGCGTGTGTGCGTGTGTGTGTGTGTGTGTGTGTGTGTGTGTGCGTGTATGTGTGTGTGTGTGTGTGTGTGTGTGTGTGTGTGTGTGTGCGTGTGAGCATCTGTGTGTGTGTGTGTGTGTGTGTGTGTGTGTGTGTGTGTGTGTGTGTGTGTGTGTGTGTGTGCGTGTGTGCATGTGTGTGTGTGTGTGTGTGTGTGTGTGTGTGTGCGTGTATGTGTGTGTGTGTGTGTGTGTGTGTGTGTGTGTGTGTGTGTGTGTGCGTGTGAGCATCTGTGTGTGTGTGTGTGTGTGTGTGTGTGTGTGTGTGTGTGTGTGCGTGTGTGCGTGTGTGTGTGTGTGTGTGTGTGTGTGTGTACAGTACATGACAAAAGTTTGGACACACCTTTGCATTCATTTCAAGTTCAATTCAAGTTTATTTATAAAGCGCCTAATCACAACAAGAGTCGTTTCAAGGACCTTCACACAGTAAACATTCCTGTACAGCAGGTCATTAAGCCGATCGGTAAAAAGTTTTGTCGAAGAACGAGTTGTTAACGGGACGGCAGCTTTATTTCTATTTCTGTTCTTCTTAATGTGCTTTCCATTATCAAGAACATTAAAATCAACCCTGAGCTAAAGAGTGAGCAGTTACAGTGCAGAAGGTGCAGCATAAGAACATTTATTCAAAGGCTGACGAAAACATGATGGTTTTCAATTATGATTTAGAAGTTTCTAGAGCTGGGGCCTGTTTGAGGTCATGAGGAAGTCGATTCCATATGTGAGCAGCATAGTAGCTAAAAGCAGCTTCACCCTGATGGTTCTGACCTGGTTCTACCAGCTGACTACTTCCTAAGGATCTAAGAGCCCTGCTGGGCGTAGATACCTGAAGGAGGTCCGACATGTATTCTGGTCCCATGCCATTGAGTGGTTTCTAAACTGGTAGAAATACTTTTCTGTAGTTTACTGGTGACCAGTTGTAACGCCTAGAAAGGGTCCAATTTCACCTACATATTGACCTACACGGTGTCCGGTCACCTACAGACATACTTCCACTATCTGAGTGGAGTTTCTATTCTGTCTTCTAAAGCCCAGAAGATTCTGCAGTCCTTGTTGACATTTCAGGGGGATAAGATGTCAGCCTATGTTCCCAAACAAAGCTTTCTTTTAAGATCAGAACCAACTATGGACTGTACCTAAAAGCCCCACCCAGATTATGAGTCTATCAAGAAGGGTGTTGTGGTCCACAGTATCAACAGCTGCAGTGCATAATCAGGACAGATGTTCTACCTGAATTTGTATTTAGACGAATATCATTTAATACTTGAATAAGTGCAGTCTCAGTGCTGTGGTGTTGTCTAAAGCCTGACTGGAGACTATCTAGCAGGTTGTCTCTAAAAGTTGTTCAGCTGGATCAGAACACCTTTTTTTACCATGTTCCCAATAAAAGAAAGAACCTCATCTGTGCTTGAACCGTTCTGATCCAGTTGAGCTTTCAGAGTTATCAAAAATATTAGCTTCATCTAAACCTTCAACTTGCATTTTGGATCCAATCCCAACCAAATTATTTAAAGAAGCATTTCCTTTGGTTACTGCCCCCATTCTAGATGTAATCAATCTATCCTTAGTAAATGGGTATGTACCACAAGATTTTAAGGTTGCTGTAATCAAACCTTCACTTAAGAAGCCTTCTCTGGATCCAGATGACCCAATGAATTATAGACCAATATCTAACCTTCCATTTTTATCCAAAGTCCTGGAGAAAATAGTGGCCATCCAAGTATGTGAGCATTTAAACACTAATGCTCTGTTTGAGGAATTTCAGTCTGGTTTTAGAGAGTATCACAGCACTGAAACTGCATTAGTGAGAGTTACAAATGATATTCTCATGGCCTCAGATAAGAATCTTGTGTCTGTTCTAGTCTTGTTAGATCTCAGTGCTGCCTTTGACACAGTTGATCACAATGTTCTTTTAGAAAGACTTGAACATGTTGTAGGGATCAAAGGAACAGCGCTAGGCTGGTTTAAATCCTACCTGTCTGACAGATTTTATTTTGTAAATGTACATGACAAATCTTCTTCATACTCCAGGGTTACTTGTGGAGTACCACAGGGTTCAGTGCTTGGACCAATTATTTTTACTATAAATATGCTCCCAATTGGTAAAATCATTAGACAGCATGGGATAAACTTCCACTGTTATGCTGACGATACTCAGCTATATTTATCCATTAACCCTGATGAACCTAATCGGTTGGGTAGATTACAGGCTTGTCTTGAGGACATAAAACATTGGATGACTCTAAACTTTTTGCTTTTAAATCAAGACAAGACGGAAGTTCTCATCTTTGGACCAGAAATCCAGAAAAGGAAATTGCTTAGCCAATCACCTGACCTGAATGGCATTACATTAATCTCCGAGAACAAAGTAAGGAACCTTGGTGTTATCTTTGACCAGGACATGTCATTCAAATCCCACATTAAACAGGTTTGTAGGATTTCCTTTTTCCACCTTCGGAATATTGCTAAGATTAAAAGCATACTTTCCAGGAGTGATGCTGAAAAACTAGTTCATGCATTTATTACATCAAGACTGGATTACTGTAATTCATTACTCTCAGGAAGTCCACAGAATGTAGTTAAAAGTCTTCAGCTTGTCCAAAATGCTGCAGCTACAGTTCTGATGAGAATTAAAAAGAGAGATCATATCTCTCCTGTCTTAGCTTCCCTACATTGGCTACCTGTTAAATTCAGAATAGATTTTAAGATCCTTCTTCTCACATATAAAGCTCTTAATAATCAAGCTCCATCATACATCAGTGATCTGATTGTTCCATACGTTCCTAACCGAGCACTTCGCTCTCAGACTGCAGGTCTACTGGTGGTTCCCAGAATATCTAAAATTAGGATGGGAGGCAGATCTTTTAGTTATCAGGCTCCTCTCCTGTGGAACCAGCTCCCAGCTTTAGTCCGTGAGGCAGACACTTTGTCTACTTTTAAGAATAGGCTTAAAACATTTTTATTTGATAGGGTCTATGGTTAAAATCTGATGTTAGCCTAAATCTGGACAAGTGGGGGAGTAGAGGGAGGTGGAGTGTACAGTCGGTAAAGACGACTCTCCCTTGCCCTGCCTCCAACATGCCTCCATCTAAATAGGATAGATTATCCAGAGTTATCTCTGTAGTTATGCTGCTATAGGCTTAGACTGCTGGAGGATACACTGACCACTTTCCACACTCTATTGCTTTCTTCTACAGTCTGCTCTTTAACTGTATTATTTCCTGCTATTTCAGCTGTTAACTTTATTTTCTCTCTAAGTGTTTTTCTCCCCAGAAGAAGCTACAACGATGTTCTGCTGAGCTGTGGTGGCCTCATGGAGGGGGCCATCGTCTAGCACACTGCTGCTAACCACTTAAACATTCTCCCTCTCCTGATAATAACTTTTTACTCTCTTTGACGTTGGATGTGCTACTACTAGTTTACCCGTTTAATTATAGATCCACTAGGATAAATACAATAAAGTTTATCTCACCACATAGAATATTTACTAAGACATCACAATGTAACCATAGAAACACTACTTGGTGTGTGTGTGTGTGGGGGGGGGGGGGGGGGGGGGGGCTGCTTATACTGAGCCAGGATTCTCTGGAGGTTTCTTCCTGTTAAAAGGGAGTTTTCCTCTCCACTGTCGCTGCATGCTTGCTTAGTGTGAGGATTGCTGTAAAGACTCTGACACTAGTCAGTGACTCGATGTAACTTGCTGGGTTTATTATATAGGAAACTTTTTGATGATTGGTGTGATGAACTGAACTATGTTGGAATGTTTATTATGTGAAGCTCCTTGAGACGACTCTGGTCGTGATTTGGCGCTAAATAAATAAACTTGAATACTATAAAACTGTCTCAAGTTCAGAGCGGGACAGAATGGGACTCAGCTTAGCAACGTTCCTGAGATGGAAGAAGGAAGAGCGAAAAAGAGAACTGACGTGAGAATCCAGGGTGAGAGCTGGGTCAAAGGTCACGCCAAGATTCCTGACAAAGAATGCATGCATCAGTGTCCTCGTGTTGGCCCGAGAGAGGATGGGTTCGGGCTCTTTGTCCTTTAGATGATAAAAACCTATTTTAGTGATGTTTTTAATGTGAGTTATGAAAGACAAACATACTGTTTTAGCGATATCTGCTACAGCTAGCTGTTAGCTACCTCAGCCATTCTGGAAAGTTCATTGCACGGGAAGTGCCTTAGTTCCAGTCTTGTTATGACGTGTTGATGAAGCTTGTTACAGAGGATCAATGAGTTGTTATTCTGGAGCTTCTTTTGCTAAACTGCTTTAAATTCTCCTCACATACTGATGTCAGCCAATAAAATAAATGTTTTGGTAATAAATGAATGCATCTGTGATACAATCCTGGAAAAAGTACATTCATTTGTGAACATCCCATTCTTAGCCGATGGAACATAACCCGTCCATCAAACTGCCTCTGATTGGCCCTCACCCCTCTGCTCATTTATGTGCACGAATCACACTTTCTAAGCTCAGCACTGCTGAACAGGAAGTGACGTCAGAGCGGAGCTGGCTAGTGTCATGGACAGTGTTTCATTCTGTTTGCAAATGTCTGTTCTATTTATTCAGACGTCCATCTAAAGAGGAACAAGCTCTTGTTTCACAGGATCTGTTTATAATCTTGTTCTGCTCTTGTTGGTAAACGTCTAGGTGACATACCTGCAGTCTGTGTCAGCATGCCCTGCTGTGACTAACGCGTGTTTGTGTGTGTGTGTGTGTGTGTGTGTGTGTGTGTTTTCTCACCGCACACTCTGTAGCTGGGGGTGAGGAATCACCCTGTGGGATCCCTCATAAAGCCCCCCCTCTCCATCTCTGTGGTACCAGCCAAAGCTCCTGTTTCCATGGTGACGGCCCACATGAATGGCCAGAAAATGGTGAGCTCAGAACCGCTGCAGCTGTCTCCCATCAACCTGCAGACTGGAAGCAGAGTGGCACCAGGCCCCAGGGTCCACACTTTCAGTAGCAGCAGAAGGGTCGGAGACCAGGTAATGTTCAGCACACCTGCGAGAGCTACGGCTCAAGTCTGGGTTGGGGTTCTGTTGGTCCAGCTAAACATGTTGATGTTTTAAACAAAAGTGATAATGCAGCAGGGGGTCCAGCAGATCCTGGTCTGGACCCAGCTGACCAGGTGAGGCCTTGCGGTTACTGTTTGACATTAATGCTCTAAAACAAAACGTTGTTTCACGGGAGCGGGGACCCTGACGCTTCAGCGTTTTACAGGCACGCGTTGACCGGATGTTTTCCTTATTTGAACATCTTTTTCAACAGTAAAACTTACACAGAGAACATAACAGAAGTAACATAATGAATCAAGAAAAGACTCCTCTCAGAGAATCTGAGCATTGCCTCACACTTGTACACCATTTCAACACATCTTGCTGTTATTTTATTGGTCCAGATTTAAGGTCCTCCTCCATGTGTCAGGGTGCTGCAGGGCAGAGCCCCCCCATGTCTGGCTGAACTGTTGCAGCGGCGTGTCCCCACTCGGGCCCTTGGCTCTGCTGAGCAAGAGGTGCTGGAAGTCCCCCGCTCTAAACTCAGATCAAGGAGGGACCGGGCCTTCTCAGTGACGGCGCCTATGGAATGAGCTCCCTCTGGCAGTGAAGCTAGCTCCTCCTCTACAGGACTTTAAGTCTCACCTGAAAACTCACTCATCCACCAGCTTTCCCCCAACGTCGTTGACCCTGGCTTTTGTATTTGTACCCTTTTGTACTTGGCTTCGGGTTAGGGTTTTAATTACTTTTACTTGTACTTTTGTATTCATTTATTTGATCCCTTTTACTCTCTTTTATCTACTATGTTGTTTTTATGTGCTGTTCAGCACCTTGGGCCTTCGATAAGGTGGTGGGAGGTGCTATATCAACAAATTGGATTGGTTGACAGCATGCTGAAGCTCTAGGACAGACCATTGCAGGAGAACAACTCCTCCATGCGGGAGGATTTCCTCCCGTTGAAGCGAGTTGCTTTCCAGGTCTAGAAACCTGTTTTGAGGACTTCTGGTAATTCAAAATGGAGAAATGTTCCTTGATTCTTAAACTTCGGCTGAACTTTTGCTTGTTATTCCCATCTCCAGTGTGGTAGGCGTGCAGATTCATCAAGAACATTAACACAGCCATGAGTCTGTCCTAGACAAAAGACCAGACTCATGGCTGTAGCCTGTTTCTTGTTCTTCTCTTACACAGTTTAGTACAAAACTTGTTTTCACCGGACATGCTTCAGCTGGTATCTCTAGCTATCATCAGAGACCCAATACAAAATGGAAAACTACCATACCTTTTTATTTAGAAAAGCGCTTTCAACGTGGCATTACAACCAACCAAAGCGCTGTACAAAGTAAAACAACAAAGGCATTAAATAGTTGCATCATACAGCAGCAGTAGCTCAACAGGTTGAGCGGGCTGTCCAGTAATCGTAAGGTTGCAGGTTCGATCCCGGCTCCGGACAGAGAATTCTGCTGTTGTGTCCTTGGGCAAGACACTTACTCACCTTGCCTGCTGGTGGTGGTCGGAGGGACCGGTGGCGCCTGTGTTCGGCAGCCTCGCCTCTGTCAGTGTGCCCCAGGGCAGCTGTGGCTACATCGTAGCTCATCACCACCAGTGTGTGAATGTGTGTGTGAATGGATGAATGATATTCTGTAGTGTAAAGCGCTTTGGAGTCCTTACTCTGAGAGGCGTTATACAAGTGCGGGTCATTTATCATTTATCATACAATCAATAAAAAATAATACAACAAAGTAAGGTTACAAACAAACAAAAACAATAAAAGTATTAAAAGTGGTCAGACAGATTTAAGATGGAAAGTCCACAGTATAAGGAGGTAGGACAAATTGTTGATGCTAAGAATCGAAGGCCATGGAGAAGTAATGTGTTTTCAGCCTCCATTTAAAGATGGGAAGCGAGGGTGCTCGTCCAACAGGAAGGGGTTGGGAATTGCAAAGTTTTGGGGCACGGATACAAAAAGCTCTTTCCCCGCGAGTCCTTAAACGCACCTAGGGATGTAACCCTCGAAGCTGGACAGGAAACTGCAGGATCTAGGACTGAGCAGCTCCCTCTGCAGCTGGATCCTTAACTTTCTGTCTGACAGACGCCAGGTGGTCAGACTGGGCAGCACCACCTCATCTCCCGTCACACTGAACACTGGTGCTCCACAGGGGTGTGTGCTGAGCCCTCTCCTGTACTCACTCTACACCCACAACTGCACGGCCATGAGAAACTCCAACATCATTGTGAAGTATGCGGACGACACCACAGTGGTAGGTCTCATCACCAACGACGATGAGACGGCCTACAGGGAGGAGATCAGCGCCCTGACCCACTGGTGTCAGGACAACCGTCTCACCCTCAACGTCACAAAGACAAAGGAGATGATAGTGGACTTCCGGAGGAGCAGAGGAATACACACCCCCATCACCATCAACGGCGACGCTGTGGAGAGGGTGAGCAGCTTCCGTTTCCTTGGAGTTCATCTGGCAGAGGATCTTACGTGGTCAGTGCACACGGACAATACAGTGAAGAAGGCACAGCAGCGTCTCTTCTTTCTCAGGAGACTGAAAAGATTTGGAATGAGCCGCCGCATCCTCAGGACCTTCTATCGCTGTGCCATTGAGAGCATCCTCACTGGATGCATCACCGCCTGGTATGGCAACAGCACCGCTTACAACCGCAAAGCTCTCCAGAGAGTAGTGCGGTGTGCAGAAAGGATTATTGAAGGTGAGCTGCCCTCCCTCCAGGACATCTACAGGAAGAGGTGCCTGAGGAAAGCGGGGAGGATCATCAAGGACTCAAGTCACCCCAGCCATAAACTGTTCAGACTACTTCCATCAGGAAGGAGGTTCTGCAGCATCCGGTCCAGAACCAGCAGACTGACAAGACAGCTTTTTCCATCAGGCCATCAGACTGCTGAACACGGCGCAGACACCTCACCCTCACTACTGAAACTCCAACATTACACGCTCCATACTGTACATTAATGCCACTGTTTAGCACATACCAGCCTCTGTACATTTTATATCTCTTATTTTATTGTTTACTTTATTCATTTGTAAAACACGTATATACACACTATACACACACTCACACGCACACACGTAGAACAATATATTTAACAAAAATACTTGCATAAACATTTAGTAATGTATATACCTTACATACTATACATATTATTACTTAGATTAGCCATTTTTATATGTTACTTGTTTTTACATTACTGTATTTTTGCACAACTCTGTTGCTGTGAAGCTCGCACACAAGAATTTCACTCGCATGTACTGTACCAGTGTACCTGCACATGTGACGTGACAATAAAAGTGATTTGATTTGATTTGATTTGAGAAGGAGTCTATCTGCAGACCTAAGAGCACGAGGGGGGTGGTAGAAATGGAGGAGTTCGCTCAGATAGGGAGGGACCTGACTGTTCAAACATTTGATTGCAAGTAGTTAGATTTGGAAGTTGATCCTGAACTGAACGGGTAACCAATGTAGTGTTTTCAGAATGGGTGTGATGTGCTGTCTTCTGTAGCTTCAATCAGAAACCGTGCTCCCGAATTCTGGGCGAGTTGAAGTCTGGACAGAGCAGCTTTGCTGATGCTGTATAAACAGGAGTTGGAGGAGTCTAGCCAGGATGTAATGAAGGCGTGAATCACTGACTTTAGAAGACTGTCACTTAGGATGGGCTTTCATTTAGAATTTCGCCTAAGGTGGTAGAAACACGACTTGATTGTGCTGTTGAACTGAGCGTCCATCTTCATAACCGGGTCCATTTTTACTCCCAGGTTTGATGTGGAAGATGTTATATCAATGTCAAAGGCCCATTACACTGATGTGTGTGTGAAATGTATGTAACCCATCCCCTGGGGGAGCGGTGAGCTGCAGACACAGCTGCACTCGGGAACCATTTGGTGGTTTAAAGCCTGAGTCATGCTTCTGCGTCAGTGCAGAGACCCGCAACACCATTATCCATCCTTGGGGGCCTGCTGGAGAGCCCCGCAAGGACGGATGGAGTCAAGCTCTCTTTTCTAAACATCCGTCCGTCGAGACGGAGAATGCAAGTTTGTGATTGGTCAGGGCACCGTTGTCGTCTACACCGCCGCCATTGCGCCCTCAAAAACATAAAGAGTGCCGAGGATAACTAGCGGCAGGCACGGAGAAGCTTGAAGAATACCTCGTGAAAAAACTCTAAACATGAATGTTTAATTCCCCGTGACTGGAGGAGTGAAAAGATGCACAGCAAGCGTTTTATTTGTGGACGGAAATGACAGGAAACGTGGGTTTAGAGGTGGCGAGCGCATGAAGAGGTGGAGGAGGATGAGAGACAAATATGTCCGTGTTAAAAGTCTCTTATGTACAAAAACACATAACAAACACACTATCTTGGACCGATACATGACAGGATACCACAGAACAGCGCTACGCCCTCTGCTGTCCTGGCGGGGAATTGCTCTTTTTCCGGCTCTTGGAGGGTGCAGACGCTTTTTCTTCTCCTCTCCTCCATATCTTATCCTCCAGGCCTTTGTCTGTCTGTGGGTGCTGGGTGCACGGCTGCTTCTGCATTTTTTCTGGAAACTGAAATTCACTATAATGGATCTCGTCAGTTGGTCACTCAACGCGGTTGATAAAATCTTTTCAACGATGAGAACGGGAGAAGGGGCTCCCGGATGCCCCTTCGGGACAGACCAGCTGTCTGTGGAGGACTCTGAAGATGTGTGGATATTCCTGGTGTTGGTGTCAGGTTTCCTGCTGATCGGCCTTGGAGGCTACCTGGCTTACCAGAAAATTATCGAGCTGTTGAGGAATGTTGGCCGGATCCCGGGGCTCAGAGATGGATTGCACCGCGCTGTGAATTCACAGACTCACATAATTGTCGAGATGAATCGTAAGCTTGGAACTTTGGCCGAGATTCATTCATTGGCACAAAAGATGGATGCCATCAAGGAGAGAGTGGACGAATCAGCACGGATTGGGATAGATTAACGTCCATTATTGGGATTCTGAGAGGTTGAGGACCAGCAGACTGTAAGACAGAGAGGAAATTATCTCTGTCTGGCCCCAAAACAATTT